AGCCTGCTCCCCCCACTTCCCTTTCTCTTTTCTTTCCTTTTCCCCTTTGTTGCTCATTTTCAAAAGGGCAGAGTTGACAGCTTTGCCTTGAGCAAAGCCTGGTCCTGCTGACCCGGCTCTCTGTCCCTCCTCCAGCCCTGGCCCTGGCCTCCCGCCCCCAGGCTGCACGTGGCTGTCTGGCCTCAGAGGAGGGGGAGAGGAGAGAAGGGCCTTAGAGAGCTAGAAAGCGCCCCATCAGCCTGGTCTCTTGCCCCAGCTCAGCAGGCCCAGCTCAGGCACCCCTCTGCCCTGCAGGGATTTGAGACACCTGGGCAGGAAAGGAGGAGGACATGGAGGAGGGGCTGAGAGCAGACCCCGTGAACCTGACGGAGAATGAGCCTTCTATTGACTGCAACCCTCAGTGGCCCCATAAACTTGATATTATGTGTAAAAATAACCTCTTAGCATACGAGAAGATGAATTTATTGCTCATATTCGAAACTGAGGAAAATGAATGCTTCCAAAGCAGCACAGGTTAAGTCCGAGACAGTTCCCTTGCACTATCCACCCTTCAGGACACTTGCGAAGCCCCTTAAACCTCCCTGTGTGATGCAGGACAGCCATGCCAAGTCCACTGTGGCTCTGAAGACAGCAGCCTATTTTTTTGTTTTTTAATTACAGTTTCTATGTTGAGAAAATTGTAGATATACATACAGAGGAAAAATAATAGAGAGATCCCCTATGTTTCTTACCCATTTTCCCCCAGTGGTAACATCTTGCAAAACTACATAGTACATTGCATGTACTGCAATGTCACAACAAAGAAACTGGTATGGATAGTGGAGATACACAGGAGTCCATTACAGGATTCCCCTGCTGCCCTCTAGTAACCATACCCACTTTCCTCCTCTTACTCCTTCTTCTTTTTTTTTTTAAGTGAGAGAGAGAGAGAATTTTAATATTTATTTTTTAGTTATCAGTGGACACAACATCTTTGTTTGTATGTGGTGCTGAGGATCGAACCCCGGCCGCACACATGCCAGGCAAGCGCGACACCGCTTGAGCCACATCCCCAGCCCTCCTCTTACTCCTTCTTAATCCCAGGCAACCACTAATCTGTTCTCCCGTTCCATAATTTCTATGGGATCACAATATGCAACTTTTTGAGAATACCATTTTGCATTCACATAACTCTCTATAGAAGGCATGTATTGATGGTCTTTTGGGGAGCTAAGTGGTTTCTGTGATGTGTTGAAGGAGATCTGGTTTGTTTTCCGTTTAGGGCCATTACAAATAAATCTGCTATTTTTGTTATTATTTGTACCAAGATACGTCTTCATTTCTCTGAGATAAATACCCAGGAGTAGTTGCTGGGTCCTATGATAATTGCAGGTGATAAGTGCACCTTTCAAATTTCTTCTCCAAAACTATTCCTAAACCAGGCACAGTGGCACCCGCCTGTAATCTCAGTGACTGGGGAGGCCAAGGCAAGAGGATACAAATTCAAGGCCAGCCTCAGCAACTTATGGAGATTCTGTCTCAAAATAAAAATAAAAAGGTCTGTGGATATAGCTCAGTGATAAAGGATACCCTGGGTTCAAGCCCCAGTACCAAAAAAAAAGACCTACTGACACATGTCTAGGGGTGTGCTGCTCTGGGAAGTGACCAGAGGAGAGAGTCAGAAATAAGTGGAAGGGTCTTGAAGACGGGCCATGGAGCCAAGTTGCTGCCAATACAAACTCATCCTATGCCTGCCGTGCTTGGCGAAGCGGGACCAGGAACACAATCAAGTATTGTAGACAAAATAACCACCACCCACAAAGGCGGCTACACCCTCACCCCAGAACCTGTGATCACGTTATATCGCAAAGAGGAAGGAAGGTTGCAGATGGAATTATCAAGGCCCATCAGACAACTCCGAGATGAGAGAGTACCCTAGAGTGTGCAGGACCCTCTGTATTCGTAGAAGGAGGAGGCAGCAATGGATCAGAGAATGGTTTGACTCTGGAAAAAAAAAAAACCCAAAGGATACAATCTTGCTGGATTTAAAGACAGTGGAAAGGGACCATAAATCAAGGAATTCAGGCTCCTTCTAGAAGCTAGAAACAGGTTCTGCCCAGAACCTCCAGAAAGGAATACCATTCCGTCATAATCCATCAGTACCTATGACAATCTCTGCCCTCCAGAACTGTCAGATGATAAAGACATGCTGTTTAAAGCCATGAAGATTGCAATAGTGTGTTACATCAGCAAATGGAAAACTTAATGCACCAAGTTGCCTCTGTGTGGGTTGCAGTCTTGCAAGTTCATGCACCTGCTCTGAGAGCAGATTTCAATGGCCTGCCACTGGGAAGGAGGGTAGGGGGCAGGCAGGACTTCTCTAGGCACATGTGGTTGCAAACCCCTGGTCCTTTGTGTGTCTGCACACTTTCCTGTCCAGCTCTAGTCTTTCCACCTCTGGGCCAGTTGCCTGCTGCCCCTGCCTCTCTGGGCCTTGTCCTAGCCTCTCCCCAGTAGCACCTTCTGCATAGAGGACCCTGGAAGTCTCAGTTCAGCCAACCCAAGCCTCAGACAGCCTCATCGCTCAAAAGACTGACCATCAGTCTGGAGAGCCAGAACATGGCTGTCCACTGGGGTTGGGCATAACAGAACCCAGTTAACAGAAAACCAGTTAATAAACCTAGGTGGCCTGCCTTTCCTATGGCCAGAGATTGCTTTGCAGGCAATTGGTGGCTCATTAGCATATTAATGGGCTAGGGAGATTTTCCCCATTAATAACGACCCTAGAGAGTGGTGAGTTTTGAATGTGGATGAAGTGATCAACATGACCTTTCTCTTGGGAAAGCAAAAGGGAAAGTGACAACTCCCCGCAGTGAGTAGCTCTTGATGAAGTGTGACCTAGAACCCCCTAGGGACCTTTTCCAATGCCCCACTCACAACAGGCACATCCTACTCCATCCAAGCTCTTGTAACCTTGTGGGGGCCACTGCCTTGGGAGCTGATCTGTGAGAGCATCAGTACACCACCTGACAGCGTGGAAATACACACCTATGAAACACCCCCTGTGTGCATGTGCACACACGTACACAGTGCACACATGCACTTCTAATCAATGGTCTCCCCAAACTAGGGGCCCCTCTCACCTGAGGGTGCCACTCCTGTCTTTTCATTTTATACATAAAGATGAGAAAGAAGAATGGATTGTCATTCTTCCAGAGATTTTTGGACATACAACCAAAGAAAACATGCCACCGACTATGAGACTTTTGAAACAACACAAAGCCTCCCTCCTTCATTCAGCTGATATTTGTTCTGCAAGAACATCAGAGATGTCACCCTAGGTCAGACCAAAGTTACAACCTCCTTCTGCAAGCTCCCAGAGCAGCCCATCAACATCCCTAACAGCACAGGCTGCGACCGTGGTTCCAGCCCATGTTCCCTGACCTTCGGGCCAGCCACCAAGCTGCATGTGTGTCTTTATTTTTTCTGCCCCCGGGTATACACACTGACAGGGCATAGGGGGCCATGTGGCTCTTTGAGTCAACTCTAGTCAGTGAACTCAGTTTTGAGCAGGTTTTGTCTGCGTGGGTTAAGAGGACAGAGGTGAGCTCCCGAGAAGGCGACATGCTCAGTGGACCCTGTGAAGTCAGAATAATAAAGAGCTCTCCTCAAAAATCACAGCACGGAAAGGAACCCCAGAGGATCATGGGACAGACACCAAAATACAATATCAACTGCACTGTTATGAACAGTGACTCATTAAGCGCCATCTTAGGTTCTTAAAAATAATCATATCAAGCATGTTTTCGGTATTATGCCACAAGTAGAAAAAGGTTAGAAACTAGTGGGTTTGGGGCTTACCCCACCCCACTATCCTCCTGCAAGCTTGTTTGTGATCTACTTGTACCACTTTTGAAAGATAATAATCTCTACTCATTGTATTAATGGTCCTGAAAATGTGTGTCCTTTTACCTTCTTTTCTAAAATTACCCATTTTATGCTCTTAGGGGTGCTGCTTCCTCATAAGGAAGGAGTGGGGGGAAAAATCACATCTAGGTTGACCCTATTTCATCCTCCAACAGCTTCATAAATATGCTCCGAATGACTCCTCAGCCTCTCCATTTTCAGGATGAGGAATTTTCTGTAAAAGCAGATGGCAGGTCTCCCCTAAGCTGGATCACCTGGTGAGCATCTTTTATTTTTATTCAAGACCAGAATGAGTATATACCACAGCTATAGGAGGAGCAGAACACTGGCTCCTGGATTCAACCTCCATTTTGCCAAAGCTCTCTGGCAGGCCCCTCTCTGTCACAGCTAATGGCCTTGTCTCCAGTGGTCTGCAAAGACTCTTGGTTTCTGTTTCTAGGGCTGCAACGCTCAATAAAAGTTAAAGACAGCAGAATACAACAGACACTAGTATGGCAATATGTAAATCAATGGATGTGTAACTGATGTGATTCTGCAATCTGTATACGGGGTAAAAATGGGAGTTCATAACCCACTTGAATCAAAGTGTGAAATATGATATGTCAAGAACTATGTAATGTTTTGAACAACAACAATAAAAAATTAAAAAAAAATAAATAAATAAAAATAATCATGAAAAAAAAAAAGTTAAAGAAGACTTGCCTGGCCCTAAAAAGTCAAGGTGAAGAATTTCCCACCTCTCAAGGAGATGTAATAAACTTAATGTATATTTTTAATTATAAAAGCAATATGAGTTCATTGTACAAACCTGGGAACTTGAGAAAAACAAAAAAAGAAAACCAGACTTCCTCATATCCTCTGTGTGGATCTGTATATTTTAACACAATCAGGATCGCACTACTACTTTTTTGACATAGTAATAGGATGTGAACATTTCAATAAAGACACTCCCCTTGACCAAACTTGAGCCAGGATGCCTGTTTTAGTCAGGGTTTTTTTTTTTTGTTTGTTTGTTTGTTTGTTTGTTTGATGCTGTGACTAGAGGACCCAACCAGAACAACTGTAAAAGAGGAAAAGTTTATTTGAGGACTCACAGTTTCAGAGGTCTCCATCCACAGACAGCTGGCTTCATTCCTTGGGGCTCAAGGTGAGGCAGAACAAAATGGCAGAAGACTGTGGCTGAGGGGAGCAGCTCACATGATGATCAGAAAGGAGAGAGAGAGAGGGGAGGGGGGGAGAGGGAGAGAGGGAGAGAGGGAGAGAGGGAGAGAGGGAGAGAGGGAGGGAGAGGGAGGGAGAGGGAAGGAGGGGGAGAGGGGGGAGAGGGGGGAGAGGGGGAGAGGAGAGAGGGGGAGAGAGGGGGAGAGGGAGAGAGGGAGAGAGAAGGAGGGAGGGAGAGGGAAGAAGGGAGGGAGGGAGGGGGAAGGAGGGGGAGAGGGGGGAGAGGGGGGAGAGGAGGAGAGGGGGGAGGGGGGGAGAGGGGTGAGAGGGGGAGAGAGGGGGATAGGGAGAGAGGGAGAGAGGGAGAGAGAAGGAGGGAGGGAGAGGGAAGAAGGGAGAGAGGGAGGGAGGGAGAGAGGGAGGGAGGGAGAGAGGGAGGGAGGGAGGGAGAGAGAGGGAGGGAGGAAGAGAGAGGGAGGGAGGGAGGGAGGGAGAGGGAAGGAGGGAGAGAGAGGGAGGGAGGGAGAGAGAGGGAGGGAGGGAGGGAGAGAGAGACCACTCACCAGATACAAATATATACACCAAGCCACGCCCCCCAGGCCCCACCTCCTCCAGCCATATCCCACCTGCCTTCAATTACCACTCAGTTAATCCCAAGAAGCCAGGATTAGGCAGATAGGCAAGGATAGGATCCAGAGAATGGAGGGATTGAAATGTTAATTCCTTCAGAGCCCTTCCTTCACCCTTATCGAGATAACCTGCCCCTGCTCCAATCTGTTGCTAAGGTAACCTGTCCCCACTTCCTGCCTAGATCACTCCACCTTGGCCACTCCAGCCCATCTGCTTCTCACCTCTTGGCCATCCCACAGAGCATCTCCTGGCCTAGTCATGAATGCGGGAAGGGAAGGGATAAGGGGCAGAGAGCAGGAGAACAAAGGAAGCCTGGGACATATAAAAAGGCAGAACACTCTCACTTCTTGGGATACCAGGATAATAGCTGTGGCCCCCTGCTCCCTCCCGGGAGAAGTCCATGTTACCTCTTTTTAAGTAAACCCTGCTGTATATGCTTGCCTTGGTGTGCTTCTCTAATGTCGTACTTCAACACATGGGGCGCAAAACTTGTCACCAATAACTGGCGGGATTGCCATCAGGTGAATAATTCACTGATTGGGTTAAGGCTCTCATAACCCAATCATTTTTCTCTGAACCTTCTTGCATTTTCTCACACAGGAGCTTTTGGGGAACAACTCACATCCAAACCACAACAATAACTTTCAGTCCTGGAGTTCTTGACCTTGACATCCATCACTGTCAAGCCTGTATCACCGAGTTGCAGCAAGAATCTTGTTCAATCCATTTAGAAAGAACCCCCTAGCCTTGACATCTGATCAAATTCCTCAGTTGCCCCTTTGGTTTCTGATCGCCCTGGCCTGTCTTCAGCAAGCATCCAATCTAATATCCTTAGCCAGAATTCCCCCCTCCTCCTGATGTTTCCTCTTAGTAATTTTCCATCCATTGATCCCACCTGCCCCTGCTCCAAGGCTATAAATCCCCATTTGTTCATGTTGTACTCAAAACTAAGAGCCCAGTCCTATACTGAGGACTCTTACTCCCTAGCTATTACCATATCACCACTGTCCAGCTCTGGTTTTCTCTAACAATTTCTCCTGTCATTTGTGTGGATTTCCTCCGACATAATCGTTCCTGGCAACTGGCATTCTACCATGTGGATATGTCCTAATTTATTAAACTGATCCTTTATTAGTAGCTGTTTAGTCCATTTTTTTTATTTTTCACTACTTCAAACTGTCCTCTTTATTGAACCATAATCTGTAGTGCAAAAGTTTTAAATGATTCGTAAGAATGCTAATTTCATGATTGTGTGACAAGTATCTAATTGACATCCATTTAAGCTGATGACTTTACCAGGAGCAACGAGAGAAACAAACAGAAAGTCCTCAGAGAAATTCATCTGAGGCTCTGAAGATAGTACTGCTTCAGTGGGTTTAGAGATGAAAGTACACAGACCAACAACATGGAGTTTATCAAATCTAAAATACATGCCTGAGAAGATGCACCATTTATTTAAGGTCCCATTGAGAAAGAAGATGTCGTCAGTTGTAAACAGCATTGGGTTATTTCAGAGACCAAAATCCAAGGAAGAAAGTCTTGCTAAAGAGATTCTGGCCAGGAATAGAATCTGCGAGTATCTGGGTGGAAGGCAGTCTCTCCCTAGAACCCAGGACTATTTTTGGAACATTGGGAACAAATATCCCATGACTATGATGAAAACCAAGCTGGCCTCCCTGGGGAAGACGAGGCTGGGATTGCCAAATCACGGTCATTTCATTTGGCCGCCCGTTACCTTGAAATAGTGAAACAGGCCTTTGGACCCAGCACGTACCCCTGCAACCTCCACTCCCTGACTTCACCAGGCTGTTCTGTCCCTCCTCCTGTGCACTTTCAAAAACAGTTCTCTCTGCCCAAACACCCTTTTGGTCACAAAACACGCCTTCTCAGGGAGACCTTTCTGATGTCCCAGAGAAGGAGCTGTAGCCTCCTGACCAAAGGCACGCTCCCTCCTGGGCCCCCCACTATCAGTGTTGAACCAGGCCCTCTTGACCAGAGCGGCTTAGTAAAGACAAAATCCTCAAAGAGGGCTCTTGGCCTGGTGTTGCCACCTCTGGGAGCCAGAATCTTAATGATCAAGCAAGGTTCCCGCAGTCTGGTAACGACAACCTTTAACTGTGACACCTGACACTGACCTTTTTGAAGATAGTAAAAGGATTTCATGAGAAAGGTGGAGCCCAAAGAGGTTAACATTTACAGAAATGCCAACTTCACTGTATGCAGTGCCGCCCGAGGCTGGGGTGGTCTGCTAGGCACGGCCGGCTCCCCTCCCTCTGCTCCAGGAAGCCCTCAACTGCAGGGAGCAGCTGAGCAGGCCTGGCCTCCGGGCCTCTAAGTCATGCTCCCAGTCCCTCCAGTCCTGTCCTGTGCATCTCACATCCCCAGCTCTCAAAGTTTATTTTTAAAACCTGCTCTAAAAATAAATAAATAAACACACCCTGCCTTCCTAACAACCCGTGCAAATCCCGAGGCTCTGTTTATAGAGTCCAGCAGCTTTCTCTCTAACCTGGGCTTTGAGGCCTGAGATTCCCAGTGTTCTTCTGGTTTAGAGCATCATTGCAAGTTCTTTTTTGCAGGAAAAGGAAGTTCCTACCTGGAGACTTGGCTGGGAATGATCAGTTGTTCATTCGTTCCTCAGGACCCATTAGGAGCTTTACTGTTGAGCTACTTCAACTGCTTGCTTACAGACACCAGAAATCCTAATCACACTGTGGGGTTTTGTTTGTTTGTTGTTTGGTTTGGCTTAGCACTGGGAATTGAATCCAAGGGTGCTTTATCACTTTGAGAAAGCATCTCACTAAGTGGCTGAGACTGGCCTGGAACTTGCAATCCTCCTGCCTCAACCTCCAGAGTTGCTGAGATTACAGGTGTGTGCCACCGCACCTGGCACACACTGAATTTTAATTAAGAATTTCCATACCTGTGTGACACAGTTCCTAGATAATTTGGAGTCACATCCAAATTATCTTCAGATTCACAGCAAGGAGCTCAGTGCCTGCAATCCCCAATAACTGATACTTTAGATGAATAAATGACGCATGAGGTTGACTCATACTGGATATAACGTGGAACATGACTGGGACACTGGCGATTCATTAATCACACTCACATGACCCTCTCTCCCCTGTGTCCCATCCTCAGGTGCTCACCAGCCACTCTAAGTCCCTTCCCTTTGTCTTTCCATTTCCACCTCTGCTCCCCTTTCTCACCACTCCTCATTTCCATCATCTCCCCAGTTTCTCAAAAGCACATGAGATTTCATGATTTAATCACCTGCCTGGGAACGTTTGCTCCTGATGTGGCTTCCCCCCCTTTAAAATCCCCTCCTCCCAGGCAGGCAGCCGAAGCTGGGTGTGCAGGAAATAAACAATGCAGGGAGCAGGCAGTGGCCTCCAAGCCAAGGTCTTTGGAAGATTGCCTATCCCCAGCTGCTCTGCCACCCCATTTCCAGGAACCCAGTCATCTGGGTCACACAATAGGGTGCCTTCTCTGTTGGGTGTCAGAGTTGCTTCTTATTATCACCCCATAGTCATCTTTCTTATCGGAAAGTATCTCGTGGCACCTAGGGATAGAAGGTTTAATCCTCTGTGTGTGATGATTTCTGTCTATAATTACCAGGTACAGCAGTCAGGATGGACAAGCAGGTTGTGCTCTAACCCCCAAGTACCAGAGGCTGTAATCAACCCAGGTTAGTTAGGCATACAGCAGTGCACATCTTCTCCCTCCAAGACCCAGGCTGATGAGGCAGCTACAACTCAGAACTGTCAGTGTCAGTGATGAAGGACAGAAGGCAATGAGCCACATCTGAATTCAAGTGGATAGAAAAACGATAACTCGCTAGGCTCTGTAATCCTAATAACTCGTACCCCCCTGATCCCAGCGGCTTGGGAGGCTGAGACAGGAGAATCGCAAGTTCAAAGCCAACCTCAGCAAAAGCTAGGTGCTAAGCAACTCAATGAGACTCTGTCTCTAAATAAAACACAAAATAGGGCTGGGGATGTGGCTCAGTGATCAAGTGCCCCTGAGTTCAATCCCCAGTACCCTCCCCACAAAAAAAAGAAAAAGAAAGAAAGAAAAATGGTAACTCTACACTACATATTGTGTCTTCCATTAGATAGGAACTCAATTAATCTATGTTTGACAGGGAGAAAAAACATTTATTTACTCCCAAGGGCAAGGGTAAAGAGGAGATGGTTGTTTTACAGAAAAGAAATGAAGCATGCAGAGAGAAGGTAAATAAAGACTGGGTTGCTCTATGTAAAAAAAAAAAAAAAAAGACCGATCCCGGGGAAAGGTTCAGGTGTTCCGAATGGAGGAAGGAAGCTTGGACTCTATCTACGGTTAGGGAAATAGGAACCAAAGGGGTAGAGTAGTAGAAAGAGAACAAAACAAGG